CCATTAAGGAGGGCGATCTTCCCCACAAGTGGAAAGCCACCAGCATCGCCTTGACCAGACCAGGGGACCACCGAGCATTCTTCTCACCCTTCTCATCGTCCTGGTCCATGTCGGTGCCTCGTATGTCCTTGAGTGCATGGAAGTAGGAAATGTTGGTCCCGATGGTTGTTGGCGTGGAGCACTTTGAGCCCATCCCTTGCTGGTCAAAGCTCACCCGATATTGCCCAGACTCCTCCTCGAAGGACCGCCACATCGGTGATTGCCATAATCCACCTCTCTTTGTATCTTCACCAGGGTGCTCCAGAAAGAAGCCAACCGACCTCCTCCTGTTGCTTCCAGTTGCCCGGGTGAGTCTTCCTGCAGTTGCTACCACATAAAGCCAAAGCATCCTGGCTATGACCGTGAGGGACTTGATAGCTGCAGGGTTATGGTGTTGAAGCGCATCCATCAAACCAGATCGCCCAGGTGGCCCACCGAACAGTAGGTCAATTCGACCTTCGCGGGCTCCCCACATAAGCATTCGCCACACATTGGTGCCCAAGAGGTCGTGACCCCTGCATCGATCGAGATCGAGCTCCAAGACCACCGTGTCACCTCGCTCCAACTTGAAGAAGTCAAGATGACTGTCCTTCCCGGCGCAAAAGTGTATCACCCATCGCTTGGCTGCCAAAAGAGCTCGCCGTTGTGGTCGGGTCAAGAAGTCAATGGGCCTAAGAACATCCCATCCCCTTTCCGGCAACTCCTGTGGCACCATCCCTCCTAGACATTCTCCTGGAAGATCACATAGGAAAGGCGCGTCACGAAGCGCTCGTAACCCTGGTTCTCGTGCGCCTGAGTTCGTGTAGTGCATGAGGTACTCAAACCACGACTTATCCAAACCAGCTGCGACCTTTGCTATCCGATCCTCTGTCGCTAAGGTCTCATTCTCGAGCCGCTCCTTCTTCCTCTCCTCCAGGCGGGCGATCAAAGCCAAGGCCTCAGCCTCGCACAGCTGTGGGCAACCACTATTCACGTTGAGGGGCACCTGGACTCCTTCTGAATCCAGCAACAGACACTCCTTTGGCGACCAATGTAGAGTGTACCCCAAAGTTCGAACCAGATCTCCCATTGGGACTATGGTTTGTGCTTCCTTGTTCTGAGCAGTGTCCTTCGGGGCCATGAGGAGGGTGCCAGCCTCGTTGATTTTCATTTGCAATGAGTGGCTGCCAGCTAACTCCACCATCACCTCTTCAGCTGCTTCCCACTCCGCCCATGAACGGGCGCTCCGGAGGGCATGTGTCGCCCCTGAATCCAGGAGGGCTGTTGTGGTCCTCAAAGAACACACCCGGATGTCCTTCACGATCAGCACTCGCATCGAGGGGGTTTTCTCTGGGCTCTTGTCTGGCTCCCCTGCTTGGGGGCTGGTGGCCTGGGCCTGGACAATCTGCTGGGCGGCCTGAACCAGACTGTCTAGGGTCCAAGGAATCCCCTGAACCGGAGCCCCAGCTAGGCTCTTGTCCTCCGCTGCAACTGCTGCCACCGTTGGGGCACTCGGAGAGGCACCCGCTTCTGAGGTTCTTGTTGTGGTAGGCGAAGATCCGGAAGCTGGCTTGCCCTTCGAACCCCCTTTCCCAACAGGACAATCCTTCTGTCGATGTCCTTCTGCTCCACACTGAAGGCACTTCCGAGCTCTCGTGTCACGGTCCAAAGTGGTCATGCTATGCGAATAATTGCATCGTGCCCCTCTTCGGCATCCCGAGGCCTTCATAAAGTACTTGCAAAGTTCAGCACCAGCTTTGTCCTTGATCTTACCGGTCGTAGGACTGCTCCCAGTTGCATCCGCTGCACGAACCTTAGGGGTAGCTGATGATTTTGTTGTTCCAGCTGCAAGTACCTCCAACTCAGCCTGAAGATGTCGCTGATATGCAACGACCTGATCCAGTGTCGGCTGTCCGTCCAGGCGAAGCGTTGTCCGCAGCATGGCCGTCCTGAAAGCCGCATCGGCTGAGGCCTGGATATGCCGGTCGGTGAGGGACGCCAAACCCTTCGTTAGGACTGTTGGATCCGGCGGACTCATGCCCACAGCCTGGCAACGTGCCAACCACCTTGGCCAAGCCCGAAGCAGCGCTATCACATCATCAATCCCATCACCAGAGGTCAGGTAGTCGGAGGGCATCTGTAATCGTCTCAGCATCTCATGTCTTTCTGCCCCTCCTCCAGGCTGGTACAAGGTGTGAAGTCGAAACAGCATCTTCGGGGTATCTTGTGTTAAGCGCTGCGAGATCATCTCCTTTTTCAGATCATCTCCCATGGCGCTCAACAGCATTGCTGACACCCTCGCATTGACTCGTACCCACCGTCCTTCACAAAGTCGCTCGGAGCCCACTGTCCCTATCTGCAGCCTTTCCAACGGTGTAGCACTCAACCATGTAGCATAAGTCTTGCCAACCATTGCCACCACAGAAGCCCACCACTGACTGCTTTGTTCGCTAACATCAGCCATGACAGAGCCTGCCACTTCTAGCCAGTCTTGGAATTCAAGAGCAGCTGTCGCAGTTGTAGTGGAATCCATCCTCGCCGGCAAAGGGGCCAAAGCTGTGGTTCCAGGCTTCACGGTCTCGACCTCATTCGACGTTGTGCTCCGGGCCATTGCCTGTAGCTGTAGCTGTTGCAATTGCTGCATGCTCTTCGTTAAGGCATCCAGGACAGTGCTTTCTGGCGTCGTAGTTGGTCTCGTCGGCGGGGACGGCGTCCTTGGTCGTCCAAGGAGGGCGCTCAACAGACCCGGTCGATGCTCCGATTCCTCCACCGGCTGCGAGGCTTCCTGGGTCGGGCCAAACGTCATTGGCTCCGGGGCTGATCTTTGGACTGGCGGAGGTTCCGTGGTTGCAACACGAGGTACAGACGAAGGCTCTGGCTGAGGAACTTCTGGCAGCGATCCTCTCATCGATGCACCTGCAGCCATTTCCTCATCTTGTCCAGGGCCTCCTGGCTGTCTCACCCATGGCGACCAAGTATGATCAGCTCGGCTCTCTCGACATCGTCGCAACTCATCTTGCAACAAAGCGTTGTGTTCCTCAGTTGTTCTCAGGCGAGCGAGCAGATCTCCCAGCTGTCTCTGTACTTCGGCTTGAATCGCCTCTGCAGGAATCGATGAGGAACTGGGCGCTGAGGTCTCCTGTCGCCTAGACCTCATTCCAGGCGGGGTTCTCAACGAAAAAGTCGGCCCACCCGGCGGGGCTGGTGAAGAGCGTGAGCTCCCAGCTAAAGGGCTGGGAAACAGCTCCACTTGATTGTTCATGGACACATACGATCCAAGTCGTGAAACCCACGAAGGCACTTCCATCCCCGTGAGCCCTGAAAACCATGCACCACGTGTCTGTACCATTGATTGCACGGACCGAGGTGTCATGAAACCACTTGTAGTTGGCTGACCCACAGCATCTGTCATCGTTGCGGGCACAGGTGCTCCAGCTGGTTCTGTAGTCGTCGAAACTTCTTGTCTCGCCTGCTGCAGCTCAGATCTGGTTTCCACCTGCTCCGAATGACCAGTGCCATCGGGCTGGGATCCCATTGGCATCGGGCCACAATCTGCTGACCCATAACCAACTGGAACTTCCTCCACCAACCTTGACGCAGAGACAGCAGCTGCTCCACTACTAGAGGCCGCTGCTTCCATATTCATTTCAGCTGCAAAAGCAGCCCCTGTTGCAGAGTTCGCATCGCCTCTGGTCACACCATTAGGCAAAGCTCCATCTGGTAGCGCTTGGGCAAACATAACCTGAAAAACCACTGTAAATCAGGGCAGCATGCCAGACTTGAAATCCATGGCTGGAGGCCGCGCGCCCTGATCTTTTGCTTCTGCAAACAACGAAGGTGAATCTGTGGAAGGCTATGCATAGAAAATCGGTTTTTGTACAGGTGACCGATATGCATGCCTGCTAAGACTTGATGTTGTGTTGTAAATCTTCTGAACATGTGCTCAAGGGAGCCTTTCGTAGCCCCTCCCTGAATGCAGCCAAGACGGAGCGAAGCGGGCGAAGACATCTGTGTTGAACCTGGCCAGGGCTTTCTTCAACCCTAAACCCTAAATCCTCGAGTTGGGTAGCCTCGGAGCAATCAAGCCTGCAGCTTTCTCTTAGTTGAAAGGGCTCAAAAGCCCTGGATTCCTTGAAGCCTTCGTTGAGGGTTTAGGGTTCAGGGTTTAGGGTCTAGGGTTTAGGGTTTAGGGGCCAGAATAATTACTAATCTAGGACCCAGAGTAGGCCCTTATTCCCTTTTCTAAGGGTTTGGGTTCCCTTAGGTTTCTCCTGGGTCTAGTATAAGGCTTGGGGGGGTTCAGGAACTTTCGGAATTCGGCGTTTAGGGCTTTGGGATTGTGGTTTGCACCGAGATGTCACAGCTGTGGCTCGAACTAGAGCAGAGGTCAAAGACTGCTGGAGGTGTATGGTTTAGGGTTTAGGGTTGAAGGCAGGGCACCATTCGAGCAGCGGGCAAAGGACAGTCGACTACTACTACGACGATTACGACGACTATTACTGATGCTCCTTGCCAACCCTCTCTCCAGGATTTACGAGCTGCAAGTTGGGATTTTCCCCCATACTAACAGTCCTCAATAGGGACTGTAATAGGGATGCTACAGTCCCCATTAAGGACTTTTAGTATAAGGGGGGGGGGGGGGGGGGGGAACATCCCAAACTGCTAGCCGAAATGGAGTGCCTGTAGAGCTCTCCAAGCGACAGCACGAGGATCGCGCGAGGCGGCTGGACGACCTGAATGGGGTTTAGGGTTTCGGGTTCAGGGTTCAGGGTTAAGGGCCCAGAAGCCCTGTAAAGAAGGTCAGGGACTAGATTGAAGGACCCTACTTAAACCCTAAACCCTAAACCCTAAACCCTAAACCCTAAACCCTAAACCCTAAACCCTAAACCCTAAACCCTAAACCCTAAACCCTAAAACCCTAAAACCCTAAAACCCTAAACCCTAAAACCCTAAAACCCTAAACCCTAAACCCTAAACCCAAGGAAGCTGACCGCAGAGTCCAAGAAGACCTCGAAGAAGCAGAAGGGGCCCATGCTGGCCCGCATCAAAGAGCTCGAGGCTGCCCCAGAGCTCCCTGGCCCTCCTTTGGGGGTTTAGGGTTTAGGGTTTAGGGTTTAGGGTTTAGGGTTTAGGGTTTAGGGTTTAGGGTTTAGGGTTTAGGGTTTAGGGTTTAGGGTTTAGGGTTTAGGGGGGCTTAGGGAGCTTTAGGGGTGTAGGGTCGAGGGTTGTTGGACCTTTGAGGCTTAAGGGTCTAGGAATCAGGCTTTAGTGAGTTGGGGAAGGGGGGGGAGGGGGGGGGTGTTAGGGTTTGGGGTTTATTGTATATATCTAAGCCCTAAACCCTAAACCCTAAACCCTAAACCCTAAACCCTAAACCCTAAACCCTAAACCCTAAACCTAAACCCTAAACCATGTACTGTTTAGGGCTTACTGTAGGGTTTGGAGGTTTGGAGTCTAGGAGGGGTGGGCTTGGGGGGTTCAGGGCTTTCGGGTTGAGGGCTCAAGGAGCTACTGTTCACAAAGCGCCTTGTTTAGGGGTTAGGGTTAGTGGTTGGGGGTTTGGGGTATGTTTAAGACGTGTGAGGTTGTTGGGGAGGCGTTTGGATTTAGGGCTTGAGTTCAATTAGGGTTGCTTAGGGATTTATATGTGGGGAGGTTCACAGAAGTTCGGGCTTAAGGTGCAGAGTTCAGGGTTCTACCTACTCAGAGGATTATAGGTGGTGATAGTCAGGGTCATATGTCATATACCATAGTTCGGGGCTATCAAGCCACATACCCTAAACCCTGAACCCTAAAGCCTAAACCCTAAACCCTAAACCCTCAACCCTCAACCCTCAACCCTCAACCCTCAACCCTAAACCCTAAACCCTAAACCCTAAACCCTAAACCCTAACCGTAAACCCTAAACCCTAAGCCCTACCGATGTCTTTGGTGTTGAAGCCCAGGTACGTCACTGCCAAGCGCTTCGTACAGGACCCTGCCGCAGAGCGCGAGCGGCAGCGGCAGGAGCTGTTGGCCGATCTTGAGGCAGGGTTTAGGGTTTTAGGACTTGGGCGTAGCCTTAAAAGATCAAGGGGGAGTGGTAGAGTCCTTCCTTATTCTCTCTTTTTTAGTGGTTAAGGGATGTGGGTTCAAGGCGGGGCCCCCTTACTACAGTAAATATACTTAGGGGACTTATAACCCAAGTTAGGATCCTTATAACCCAAGTTAGGGTTCTTATAACTCTACTTATAACTAGGGGGCCCGTCCTTGTTTGGGCTATGTTGAATCATCCTCCGACTGAAGTGGCGTCTAGCATCGTGACTTTTCAGGGGCGATCAAGGTAGGAGCCTGAGGGGTTGAGAATATAGGGTTTAGGGGGTATGCATAAGGGGATTTCCAAAAACAGGGGTATCTACCCCAGAATACTGGATAATCCTTCTAAAGGAGCCCCCAAAAAGGGTACCCGGTTTGTCGGGCATACCGGTCAATTGTGACCACCTCACGTGGGTCACTTGTGCCCGCGTCCTCACGGGTCACTTGTGCCCGCGCATGTGCTTCAAATCGCAGCAGGGCCACACTTTGGGCCACTTGCCTTAAAAAAAA